CCGCTGTTTGCGGGGCGCCTGGCGGAGCTGGCCCTGCCCAGCGGCTTTGCTGTGGTAACGCGCGGGTTACGCGGGAAAGGAAGCTGTCTGGTTTGGGCTGCGAGAGCGGGGACGTTTTTGTTAACTGCCCGGAATGAAAACCCCAGGGAAATTTGCAGCAGACGAGTAAAACCTGAACTGTGAACGAGCCCCTGTAGTCACATAAAAGCAGCCTCGAGTGTCGGGATTCTTCCTTCTCCCAGTTTTTGTGCCGCGCACGTTTCTCAGCAGCGCTGAGCAGCGTATCGGTGGGGCGTTGCTCCCCTTGCTTTGCGAGAAGCAGGTAATTACAGCGAGGCCTGTGATGTGGCTGAGTTGAAGTTTTTCCCGTGCGCCTGAACGACCTCCGCGCGCTTAATGTGTCCGGGGTGATAAGCAGGAAACGAGGAACTGAAGTGTAAAAGCGCAGGTGTCTCCGAAAAATTAATGGAATTTACATCGTTTTCTGTAACTCTTCACAGATCTGAGGGTAACGAATTATATCAGGAAAAAAAAAAAGGCTAGTGGGAATAAACTGGATTTTACTTGCTGTTATTTGGGATGACAGGGACTGTGACTGCCCCAGTGAAGAAAGAAAGCTGGTGGCGGGGGGCCGCGTTTTTCTTGTGCTCCTGCGCGTGGGAGCCCTGCCTCGTGGAGGTTCGGCCGCGGCCGGCTTCGGCCCGTGGCGGGTCTTCGTTGGCAGCCTGGTAACGTGTCTTTGGGTGAGGGAGACTTGTCTGCCACTAGCTACATCGAGGAAGCTTTTCCCTTTAGTAGATGCCTAAAACTTGAGGGCAAAGCGTGACCCTTCCCTGGCGCTTCTGACGCTAGACTAAGAAGGAGGAACGGCTGATGTGTGCCTAGGCAACTGTACCTGGCTGTTGTAACGCGCCAAGCGATGGGCTGTTCCTTCCCAAAATACAGCACTCCCTTCTTAGGCCTCTGATGCTACTGTAGGAGGCAGGAATATCAAGGGCCGTTTTTTATTTTATTTTATTTCTGTTTTTTTCCCTGTGCCCCAAAACAGGACTGTAGTCTATGGATCTGTGTTTCAGGTAATCCGGCTCCAGTGGGCTGCCTGTGTTTTACACTTCTGCTTTTTATGGATCTTTTTAATGGATCTTTTCCCATGCAGTTATTTATGGCTGTTATTCTTTCTGGTTTGGCTGTCTGTGATTTTTAACATTACTTTGATGCTGAGACCATTGCTCATATTTGAGCAAATCTGGGACTGAGCTCTGCTCCTGTAATAATAGGGGACTTAAATTAGTACTGTTTTGTTTTGTTTTTTTTTTTTATTAGTATGTATTGATAGTTACCTATCCCTGTGTTGTAAGTGTGTTATAAACTAAGAAAGTAGTCCTAGTAGTTGTCATCTAAATGTTAACAGAGAAGAGGGTAAATATAGTAGTAATACTGTGTAGTACTGTTTCTTTCAGTGCAGTTTAAATAACTCTAATAATCTGATTTGAGTTTTACCAAATTCCAGCCTAAGTTCAAAAATAATGTTTTTTTTTTTCAAGTTGACCAGCTATATCATCCAAGCTTTAAATGCTAGTTAGTTTGGTTTTGTTCCTGAAATGCTTTATTTCAGTGTCACAACACTGTATAAAGCTTAGAAGTAAGCAGATACTATAATTTGTTGTATTTCTATGCGACTTTTTCTAAATAGTTTTCCCCCTTCTCTCATAGGTCTTTATGCTCTTCAGTGTTTAACCACACAACTCTTAATACTGCAGTTAGGTACTTGCTTTGCTCAGTTCAGTGTTGTATAAGAGTGAAACATCTTTGTAAACTTACATTTTAAAGGATTCTGCTACTGCACAGTGAAAGTCCAAAAGAGCTAGGGTTGTCTTTCTTAATTCAATAGCAGTCATGTTGCGTGTTTTTTGAGAACGCTGAGTTAGAAATGAGAGTTCAGACTTAATCACAGCATTATTGTTTTTAGCTGTTTATGTCCTTCTACACATCTTTTAGGGTAACTAGGAATTCAAACTGTGATTAAGGTATGAATATATAAGGAAAAGATGGTAGAATCCCTGAAATGTTGCAGCCAGTTTGGGAAGAAAAACATTCCCCTTAGCAATTTAGATTACAGAACGACATGAAAGTGAGGAACTAAGGGTACTTACTGGTGCTAAAACCAAGCAAAATGGCTGTCCTCTCTTTCATTTGGTAAAAGATGTCATGAGGATCTTAATGGAGTATTCTACATGTGATGGAAGCTTTATGAAGACTGGTGCATCTCCTCTTAAAATTCAGTATTTCAACAGTGGTCAGTCTTTCTGAGAAGTGTGCTTTCACTGTTCATTTCCTAAAATAGTAGTGGATTGACAGGAAACCAAGAATTCATTCTATTCCTAGCTCTGTTAATGGAGCTCCATGTCTTTTAAGTAACTTATTTGACTATCTTATCAATTAAATGGTAATAGTTTTGCTTACATTACCATCATACTAAAAATACGAAGTTATATCTAAGTTCTACTTCCATAATGTTGAACAACCAAACCAACTCTGACTGGATTTTCCTGACCAGCACAGCAGCACAGATAGCATTTGCATTAATTCCTTGGACAAGCAATTCCTGTAGCTTTGTCACAAAAAAAAAAAAAAAAAAAGTCTGTTTACTGTTTTTTATAAATACAACTTTGTCCTCTTAGTCTTGTTGTTTGGGAACCTTTGTTTTAAGAATTCTAAAAATCACTAATTGAATTAGCTGAGTTGATAGAAGTCAAGTTTGTGTTTTGTTCCAAAAAAGTTGTTGCTGCCCCTTGCACTTCCTTTTTGGGCATAGTAGCTGAAACGAAGATTTGTTTCAACATCTGCCAAGATAACGTTACGTAGTTTTGTCTGTACTAACCCTGAAACTGGAAGAATGCAGTAAAGAGAAAATTGAGATGGCTGCACGTGACCTGTGTTAGATCCAGAAGTGGTATAATGGTATATAATCAAGCAGCTCACAGGGCTTTGTACTTGAGATAAGAGGTTCTCCCGCGAGACTTGGGAAGCCCAAGAGAGGTCTTGAGCTTTGCCCTGTGGACTTTTCCTAATACGCCCGTGCTTTATTGTCTTAGAGCTTGACTAGGATGGGCTCTTTGTGCCATATTCCACTTTGTGGAATTAACGTTACTCACTTGTCATTCACTTTCTTGCTTGGCGAGAAATGTCTGAGCGTTTTCGTGTGTACTTTGCTGCGCTCTTGACCCATAGTAGACTGGGTTACATCTGTCCATGGTGGTCCCCTGGTGGTCACTTCCGGGTAGTAATTAAAAAACAATTAAGGGAGAGTTGATGGTAAGTAATAGCTGGAGCTAGCTAGCTCCTCGGAAGGTGAGAGAATCCAAAGAAATACTACATTGATCTTTATGATGACCCTTTTCCCCCTGTTGTGCTTAACATTGTGGATTGTTTGTATTTTAGAGCGTTGCTGATTGATAGACTGTTGTTGCGTTGCATGTGTTTTTGACAACTAGTTGTTATAACAGTATGAAGCCTGGACTTGGGGCAGAGCTATATGTTTCTGCTTTTGCTTTCTAAAGAGATTTTTAACATGATCTAAAGAGTAAACTTAATTAACTAGATGCTTTTGCACGGTAAGGAGGAAGAGTCTTCAGTGAATGAAAATAATACGCTAATTTGTCTGGGACCATATATTCACTCTTTTTACAGTAAAGTTTGAGGCAGGGTAGTAGGGTACCAGCTTCATATTCCAGAACTGGTATGCAAAGCTACGTGGAGTAGTGATGGCCTTTGCCTAGAAAGCTACAGAAGCAGAATGTAATGTCTGCTCTTGCAAACTTGTTATGACTTGTACCATGATATACTGTCAGTAAAACTACTACAAGTAGGAAGGATTGTTGTCCAAAAAATTTGCTGTTTTCTAAATTGCTGTTATACACCGTTATGCATGCATGTGTCTGCTTTGTTCTTTTCTATGGCAATATGCATTGTATGTTAGGAGCTTTTCAGATATTTGAGAAGGAATAGCTAGCGTTCTAGGGAGCACTGAAATAAAGGGGAGACAAATTCAGGGGAAGGAGGGGGTTAGTTCCCCCGTTCCCCCCCCCCCCCCCCTCCACCCCTTTTTTTTGCACAAAAGCGGAGAGGATTGAAACGCTGACAATTGAAGAGGAGAGCGCTAGCAGAATGATGGTCCAAAGCATACTGAGAAGATGTATCTGTGTGCATATGCATCTGTACAGGAAAATATCGTGATTCTGCGAATAGTTTATTACAAAATAGTCTGACATGTTAGAGACTTTTTTTGGTTGTGATTTAATTCCTTTAAATTAGATTTTAGGCAACTTGTTTCAAACAACGCTGCTACAACAAATTTCCAAGTGTAAAACTACTGCTATGGGGAAAATAGTTTTTAATAATGCATTTAAGAATTCATTATGTTAATACAGGTACAGTGAAAGAATCTGGTGAGAAACATAAGGGATCTGTTGAAATTCCTAACCTGTCAGAAGAAAATGAGGTAGATGATACAGAGGTAGGTGTGAAATACTGATATGGCTACATAGGTCCAGAACGCTTAAATAAAACATTAATCAACATATAGGCATCGTGTTTTGATTTATCCTGTGGTTAAGTGGGATAATAAGAGTCGGAGAGTTTATTTTGCTCTTTGTGTTTTTTATTTTTTATACTTAAATAATGGCTTATCTCTGTTTTCAAACTTGCATAACAGGAACGACGTGCACAATTATTTTTGTTAACTGTCGTTTATGACAATGCATTAACTACAAATTTGAGAAGAACTCTGTAGTCTTTGAAAAAAAATCTTTGTTGGTAGCGTTGTAGTTGATAACTGTGGCTTTTACAGATTACTCAACTTCTGCTGTGTAGTAAACAACACTGTTTACACTTGGTGATCTTGACAAAATTACTATGGCGATTTTAAGTGAAACCCCAAGAGGACTTAGCTTTAGTAAAGGGTTGATAAACTGAGAAGATAATGGAGTTGCAATTGCAGCTGTCCTCTGTTTATAGTAAACAAAACCAAAATATGTTCGTTTGTTGTCAGAATCCAAAAGGCTAGCGTTAAGATACCGCTTAGATTCTGTATTTTTTTTCTGTTCTAGATAAATGTTAGCAAAAAGAAAGGGGAAGGGGATGTTCTGAAGGATCTTATGAGAATTGAAGGAACCGTGAAGGTCAGAGAAGCACTCAGAGATTATCTGAAAGCACTCAAAACAGGTAATTTTCAAGTTTGATGTGTTTTTCTGCAGTCTTCTTGATTGAATAAATTGGCAATACACTGACAGGTCCTTGGGTTTGTATTTTTCTCGTTAAATTAACACCAGCTGAGATAAAAATAAGTTTTAGTCCTAGCAGTCAAAACCTTTGTTGTTGTCAAACACGGCAGTGTTGAGAAGCTTCTGTAGAGACTCGGGCTGCATTTTGTTACACGCACTAACCACAGCGACGTTGACCATCGCTGAAGACTTGTGGACCAACCAGATGGCGAGCAAAGGAAGGGCCCTACCCTCAATTTGTCGTTTCTCTGACACGCTGTTCAGAAATCTGTGGAGATGGTGTGCACCTTAATGGGAAAATGCTATTCATTTTGAGTCATGTAACGTTGAAAAGCCTGGCTTTTAGTGGAAATTGCCGTGTGGTTGTGTGGGTAATAAAAAGGTGCAGGGAAAGTAGGAAAACTCGGGGCTGAAGTTGCCAGGGCGCTTTCTACACTCTTCAGTTTTGGCAAGCCAATTTCATTACACGGATCTAAATGTCGGGGTGGTTGTACAGCTTGGTTTCATACTGAATCGTGCTTTTCTTCATTACAGAGTTTACCTTGGGAATGATCCTGCCAACAAAAGCTACTGTTGGTCAGGAACTGGCAGCTGAGAGAAAACTAAGTGGGAACATCATGCAAGTATGCTAGCTTCAAGTGTTGTAGAAGTTCAATATCACCATTATTGTAGTCTCCTCGGATTTTGCCTTAGTAACAACGGTGTGTCCCTATAAGGTTACCTGTGGCAGTGAAAAGCCTTTGGGATGGAACTGCCAGCTCACCGCTGTGATCAGTACTTGTAATACAGAAATGACCTGTCACAGAACCTGGGCACAGGTTCTCCAGGCAGGGAAGGGGATACCAGTGTTACCCTTTTGGGCTTTGTTCTGTAACAGCTGTAGCTTCAAGGTGAATTGAAATGTATCTACGCTGCTCATTTCCCACAGGCTAAAATTAGCTTCAGCTTTCTTTAGAGTCAATTAAGTGATGAAACTGTTAGCATCTAATTTATTTAGTGAACAAAGATTAAGAATATGCTCACGTAAATATGGAAGTAGGTTGTATAACAACGTACAGTCACATGACAGTATGTTAAGATTGCACAGGTAACAACAGTTCTGCCATTCCAAAAGTTTTAAAAGCGCTTGATCCTGCGATCACTCATGTGAATATTTGCTTTACAGGATGTGGATATTGTTGGTGTAAAAATTCCAACAGTGAAGATACTAATGAAAGAAACGTTCAACTCCCCAGCAGATGAACTTTATGGCATCTTCACAACTAAGGAAGTGAGTGATGCTTTCAATAGTTAATAAACTATAAAAATGTACAAGAAAGGTGGATGTTATATCAGTATAGTTGTTTGAGTAGTAAAATAAATATTCCTGGTGTCAAGTACAGATAATATTCCCTGATAACATCATAGGTGGTAAGAGACGAGATCAATCAAAACCTGAAGTATCGTGAGTTACTCATTCCTTGCCGCTTCACCTAAGGAGCTGTAATTCATAATGTTAGTTTTGCTCTACAGCTTTGCCATTTTTTTTTTTCTTTTAAGCCAGTGAGGTAGTGAAAGCGCAGAAAGGACTTGACAGTTGTTGAGACAGTACGTCAGTTTGATGGGCTCCTAATAATGAACAAAGGATAGGAATCTGACCTAGTTCAACACGGTCTCAGGTTTTTGAGATACTGTTCTGAAAGCACTAAATGTGGAATGATCCTACTGCCACTGGTTTAACCAGAGGTTATTAGGGCAACTTAGTCTTTTTTTTTTTTTTTTTTGGTCTGTTACCTTAATAGGAAGCAGAGTCAACTAAGCAAAGTGAGGTTGCAGCTTTATGTATGCAGCTCAGTCACACTCTCCTTTGCTCGTAGGAAAGGCTTAGCTTCTTTATATAAGTACTTGTAATTCAGGCTCTTAAAAAGTGGTCGGTAACATAACTGTTGTTATCCACAACTTGCAGGTGAATTTGATTAACTTTTGGAGGTAATGATACTGTTTCTTATTGGGTACAGTGTATAAAATTACTACTTCCAGTTGTGCATCCTTCAAAAGAGCCTGGGCTTGTCTCAGAGACCTTAAATTAGCATCCTAACAAACACCAGCCTTCAGACGAGGGGGGGGGAGGGGGAGGCTTTCAGCAGTTCTTCTGCTTCTTCCTTGCTGTCGTGTCTCCCTGATTCTCAAATCTAGTATCAGCCAGTCACTTCAGCGTGTATGTGCGTTGCTTGGGTCTTTACTGGTCTTTATAGCTATCACAGGTTTTTCAGCATTTATGTTCTCATTCTGTCAGCTCATTGAGGCCTACAAGTACTGACAAGAGCTCAGTGGCGTGCTGGTATAAAATTAAAAGCTCCATCAGTGTTTAAAGAATCATGTTTTATATTACAGTTGTATTTCTCGTGGCCCTTCCATCTGATGTCTTCAGCAGACCGCCTTTGTTTTGTGATACGGTGCATTATGGATCAGTATAAATTTGTATTTAACTGGCTTCTTGTGCTGTGTTCTTGTTTTGATAGTTGGTTCAGAAGTTTTCTAAATGTTCTGCTGTGATTGAAGCTGAAAAAGGAGGGAAGCTTCAGATGTTCGATGGTTGTGTTAGTGGCGAATATGCAGAATTGGTAAGTTGGACTTTAAAATAAAGGTCCTACTTTGCACGTGAAAAAGTGGGGCAGCAGTTTCTTCTCGGCGCTAAAAAAAAGATTCAGATGCTTCAGCTTCTCTAATATATGTTCAGTTCCTCTAGATCATGAAACCAGCAAAAAGCCATTTATTTTGTTGCCTGATTATTTTTCCCCATGAAAAGGGCAGGCATCAGCTACACCTAAGGAACTGCAGTGAGGGAGAAAACTCTGCACAATCCTTTTTCCTAGGAGGAGTTAGAAAGATGGTTTAAGATTCATCTCCCAAATCTGTCAGTGTGTTTTTTCTTGTAACTAACTGGAATGCTAGAGAAACGATCTCTGCTCTGTTGAGGTCAAATGTTACACTGCCCTCAACTAATTGCTCTTGCAAATATGGAGGGAAAAAAAAAACCAAACCTTAATGATGATTAGCGCTCAGCTCAGTTTTTGAAATCTCTGGAAAAGCATCTAGAGAAATGCTGAGGTTACAATTGGTATCTTTTTTTCATCCAGATGACAAGGGTGTAAGTATCACTGATAGGTTAACAATTGAACAATTAAAAAAAAAAAATACAGCCTTGGAAAATTGTATTCTCAGTTCAAGCTAAGAAAATTTGTTGTTGGCTCCAAAAAGTTTTCAGTCTAGGGGGGAAAAAAGACACTGCAGAATTGTTATATTTGAGACCTGTGTATCAGGTTTTAGTAGTAATACCCCACTGCCAAAGCTGAGGGCAGTTAATTATGTTGCTGATAATCAACCTTTGCAGTTAGATAAGGAGCCATTTAGATTAACAGCAGTCAAAAGATACAGTGTGGCTTAGTAAGAGCATTTCTGGTCACTGAAATTAGTTGTGAGGCTAAGAAAATGCTATCACTAGAAGAATGCATGATGATGCTTTAAAACTGCTGTAGTCCTAGTAAGCGTCAGTTCTGTGTTTACAGTTAAGTTAGAGCATTGAACCTGCTTCAGCCCAAGCGTCAGCTGACTGATGCGTGTACTTATGCTGAAGCATTACCTTCACTTCTCACGAGAGCTGCTGGCAGGCTGAAATCTTTTTCAAGCAGTACTGCCCAACTTCTACAGTAACGGCATACCAGAAAATTATTGGCATACTCTGTGCCATGCTTAGAGAGTTCATAGTAGTGAAAACCCTACTACTGTTGCCTATTTCAAATCAATATTTCATGTTTAGTATGTATGTCATCAGTGTGGCCATATGCTATAGCGAGACAAAAGCGGTTTATTTAAAAAAAACAAAAAACAAAAAAAAACCCAAAAAACCAATACTCATCCTCTGTGAGGGTATGGCTACTTTTATTAAAATAATATTTTTCATATTTCTCAAGGGGGGAATTGGCTTTGCATAGTCATAATGTGAGTTTTCCAAAAGTAGAGGAACATGCTAATGGAGAGGGGAAACCTCCTATCTTCTTACAGGTCCCAAGCCAAAGAATTGTCTTGAAATGGAGATGTAGAAACTGGCCTGATGGTGAGTATATTTGAGGCGCTGCACTTTAAACGGAGAAGGAACAACTGTGACAATTGACAGACTTGTTAACCGGAAGCTTGCTTCCTCTGTATTCTTTGAACAAGAGCCAGATGCCCACAGAAGTTGTCATCTGTGAAAACAGGCTTCACGCAGATGCAGGGAAAAGTGATTATGAACTCAGCTACAACAATTTTAACCCTTTTAACAAACACTGTATTGAATGTCATCTTTTCTTCCTTCAGAACATTACGCAACGGTTGCCTTGAATTTCAAGGATATGGCAGCTCAAACGGAACTGCAGTTAGAGTGCAAAGGAGTTCCTGTCTCTAATGAAGATAGTACAAGACAATGTTGGAAGAAACAGTATTTTGAAGAAATACATGTTTTACTGCAACAATTCAAAGACAATACTGAATGACAACAGCACTGTAGTTTTGTTAGGGCATTACTTTTTATAAATTGTTAACATTTGTTTTTTAAAGAAATAATTTATTTGTGGGATGAATAAAGACCCACTTCTACGATACTGTATATAATTTAAGCATTATTTATGGATTTTTAGTGAATGAGATGGCCTGTAAGTTGGACTTGGTTCTAATTGCCTACAGCTTAATTTCAGAGAGTAATTATGAGTCAGCTGCAGTAAGTATTGCCACCACAGGTAGCGAAGCTAACTGAAGCAGTAGAAAGCAGTTGCAGTTCTTGAACAGTCGATTTATGAAGTGGCAGAATTGTCCCTCTGGGAAGTGGGGTGCTCACCAGAGATGACCTGAAAGGCATTATAAAACTTCTGATAAAGTCTAACTTTCAAGAAATGTGGGGGATAGTTTACAGCCGCTTTAAATATTTTATGAGATTGTTTTAACTGCAGACTGAATTTCTTCCCAACATTGCAGACAGTTTTAGGGAAAGAAGGAAAGATAGCAATGTCATGTGATTCTGGTTGGTATGCAGGTTATCACTGTTAAGTCTGCATGCACGGTACTCCCTTATTTGACCTCAGTGTGAAATTTGTTTTGGAAGCAACAAACAGTAATAATGCTTTCTTTTTGGAATTCTGTAACCTGCCGCTTAAATCATTTATGGCCCTTTGCAATCCCATAGCTCAAATTAAAGCAAACAACCGTTAGATAAATTTGACTGGAGAACAGCTGGGATATTTAAAGAATCATTATTCTTTCTTAATCATAACCACATTGAGTTTAGCAAGGATAATGTACTTCTCAAATGCTTTATACAAAGTGTATGAATTAAATAATGCAATTTGAAACAATGAAATGGACCAAGAAAAAGGGCACGCTGCCTTTGGAAAAACTGGTTGCATCAATAAAATGATTTTTACATGCAGTATAGTTTCTCCATAACTGACATTGCCAAACTCAGTGAGTATATCTAGAACTTGAGTCCTATATATTTTATTTCACAGGACACTAACATACAGCAACCTTACCGCAGACAAACTTGTATCGGGCAAAAGACAAAGATTTGCTGCGCTTCCCTACAGGAGAGATTTTTCCCTTAAGTTCTCAGGAGACTACCCCCTATGAACTTAGGAAGAGTTTGTTGTAGTAAAAAGAAGCAGCACCTAATATCATCAGGACAAATGTACAAAGACTTTTTTGTTGTTGTTTTTAAAGTAAGTGTTCCATTGCTTATGTTGCAAGTGTCCATATTGAAGCTGAAGAAACCACCCTCTTGAGAAAGACCGTTTTTAGTAGATCGGGCTTATGTTTTCCTGAACGCTTTTAAGTTCAGTGCCTCTTTTTTGTTAAATATTCAAGAATAAAAAAAACTTTAGTTTTTTTGTACAAAAAAAAATAATTTTCAGCCAGAGTGTTAATTGGCCAAGCGACAACCTTTATTTAAAGGTGGAAAACCTAGGTTTAAATTGAGATCCCTAAATTGAAATTAGGCTGAAGTCGGTTTGTGTGTAGACGGGGTCTAAGAGATCTCGCTACAACTTAGTATCCGAGTAGTGTAGGCTGTTACTTACATCCAAAGTAATACGCTCCCCAGAATCACAAGTTTCTTCAAACGCTATGTCCTACACCCTTGGCACTCTTTTTTTTGGGCAGTATCTCCAACACCGCTTTTCCCTACTGGCTAAAAAAAAAGGTGTGCGTTTTTGGGTCACAAGTGCCCTTTACTAGTTTGTTTTGCTAGCCAGAATTTTCTTGTCTGCTTCCAGCAGCAGGCATAGTAACTCTGGCCCAGTCCGCAGTCGACAGTTCAAAAAAGAAATGACTTGTGGTCCTAGTGTCGCCCCTTTTCCTGGTGTGGGACAGTCAGCTCCCCGAGAAAACTGTTTGCGACTGCTGCTGGAAGGTCTGAGACGGTAAGAGGAAGAACAGCCCCAGCCAGCCCTCGTTTCCTCTTCAATGAAAGGTGTACTAAACTCGAGATGATGTTTCTTCTTTAGCATTCCTCCCGCTCCTTCATGCCTGCATGGCTGTAAGTTTGATAATGTGTACAAGCGTTCTTGAATTAAAACATGAAGGTAAGTGTCTACCTGTTGATCCTGCTGGTAGGCTGGCCTTCCACTGTCAGCAGAAGTGGGCAATGAAGTCTGCTTTCACACCAACAGAGAGCGCCGGACTGACTGGTTTGGGCTCTATCCTGCCAGTCAGAAAAGGAGGGCACGGCTTTCCTTTTTGCTTCACCAGCGTTCCAGGACTCTTGCTGTCTTCACTGTATGTGCTGGAACTCTGCTGACAGGAGCATCATGTTGCTGACCTGAAAGGCTGATTTCTGGACAGAGTTATTTTAGAGTGCAGAAAATAAAAGTTCCCTGTACTTGTAGCAGGTAGCCTTCAGAAGTATTTCTAGCACTGTTAGCCAACCAGGGTATACAGAATACAATTGCTATCTTAGGGAAAACACTTTATTCTCAACTGTTAAAAATTTCTCATATTCCTCACAGGCTTTGCAAAAGTTCAACAAACTGAAGAATGTTAAACCACTTGCTACCAGTCTTTGAGTTGGATGGAGCAGGGTTTGGAATTTCAGATCATTTAGTAACGATACGACGATAACTGGCTTAGTGTACTACACGTACTTTTGTTTTTTGAACAAATCTCTGCTGCAAGTTCCCTACCCTCAAGTTTCACAATATAACAAAACAGAAAACATTAGGAATGGAGGCAGGTAGGGAGTCTGAGGAAAATAAGCACAAGTTTTGTGGGATTGATGTGTTCAAAACGAGACTGATGAGCACAGAAGTTATTGGAGGCAGAGCGAGCACTGTGAAAGAAGTGACAGCAGGAAGAGGAAGAAGGAATTTTGTTTGTGATGTATGGCTTTCACAATGTGCCAAGATTCTGGAGAACGTGGTATCTGAGAGAACAAAAGGGAAAAACATTTAAGGGTGAAAGAGCAGATTTGTAGTAGATTTTTGTAAGAGAATACTGGTAGCAGAAAATCAGAGTAACGGGTGGTCTTAGAGTCCAGGAGGTAGAGGGTGACTGGTATGGACTGTACAGCCAGTGAAGACAGCGAAAGGAAAAAGGGTTTTAAACGCTCGGGGTGTGAAGAGGTTAAACGAGCGATGGGACCTCCAGGAGGAAATACGTAAACGTTAGATGAGAGGTGGGATTTAACAGCGCAGAAATGAGTCGGTCAGAGAGGACAGTAGTTGAAATCATGGGAGCTGAGCAAGTCCCTAAGAAAGTATAGACAGGGAAAAGGATTAATCAATTTTAAAGAATCATTAATACAGGTAGAAGGAAGGGAATAAAAGCTTTGAGACAAAGATGCAAGAGAGTGAGGAAGCTAGTTAGAGATAAGTTTTTCAAAGACAGGGAGACAAACGGCATTCTTCAAGGCAAGGAAATACAAACCAGAAAAATGGCTTAAAGAAAGAAGGGGGCTAGTATGAAAGAAACCATGGCCTACCGAACATGTAAAACGAGGGACATACACAGAGGAAGATAAACAGGTGCAAACTTTGAAGAGAAAGAAGATATGGGAGAGCAAACAAGTTTGTGCAGGTACCACTCACTTTTGTTCCAAAGGACCTGAAAAAAAATTCCCAGTAAAGAACTGCAGGAAGACTCAGTTTATGGGGGAACCGGTAAGGTAATGTAAGGGAAGAGCAGTAAGAGCTGTTCTTATTTCTGTTAATCTGGGCACAATTTGCCAGCAAAATAATAAACAAGCTAGTATGAGATACAGTTTAGAACCAAAGGATAATCTTTTAATTAAAGCTAATCAGCATGTTTCTTAATGTGTTGTCAAACAATTTGATCTAGCTTTCTGATGAGGCTGCAAAGGGAACTGCTGGCATAACACACCTCAGCTTACCTAAGCTACATGCCTTACTATTTAAGGCTATTTTGCTTAAAGAGCCATTAAAACCCAGCATAACCATATCACTGAAACATAGTACGAAATTGTAACTTCCAGCAATTCTTGCTAATGGAAATCGATCGTCAAATAAATAGATTTCTAGCAGGATTCTAAATCACCAATTACACTGTCAACTAGTGTCACAAATCTAAGAGACAAAAATTGCCACTGATAGCATCTGCAAAACACACACACACACACAGATCTGTAGGGGAAAACATCCTGAAAAATAACTTAAAGGACGTGGTCAGTGACCAGCTGAACACTGCAGTGCTGCAAACGAAAGGACTAATGTGAAGCAGGGAACACGGAAGAGGAAGAAAGAGGTTACTTTACTTGTGTGTCATTTCTGCAACCATTACGAGGCTGGCGTTTTAAATTTTGTTCCACCACTTACAGGATTTCAAAATAACAGGGAAAAGAACCACCACAGGTCAGAGAATCCTGCTCTACAGTAAGAGGGTTACGGCGTGACCTTACCGTGGTCAGCAGGTACCTGTATGAGAATAAATAAAGCGCAACAAAGTGCGATGGCTGGAAGCTGAAGTCAGAGAGCGTAACAAAAATCAGATGCACGTTTTTGATGAGCGTGATTAATAACTGAGACTACTTACCGAAGGGATGTAATGGGTTCTTTTTCACTTGAAGATTTTAGATCGTGCGGGGAGTATCTTTCTAAACAGATTTTAGCCACAAGTGACTAGGTCTGGCGGAAGAGTCGACTGATGAATTCTGTCGCTCGTTATGTAGAAGTTCTGGCTAGATGCTGCTGCTGATTTCTCTGAAGTTAAAATCTATGGAGAAGCTGATTAGAAATAGTAATAAAACTATGCCTAAAGAGAGTAAAAACATCATTACTTAAAATCTGAGTAAGGAGACTGACTTAAGCAATCAGCAGTACCATTACAGTGGTAGTAAATGCAGAAAAAAGAGCTTGTTATATTGTTACAAAGGGAACACACAGTGTAAACTTTAAGACAAATTATTAATTACAGGAGGTAAAAGAAATAACTGAGAATAGATGCAAAGAGATGAAGAGAAGTCACAAAAGCGCTGCACAACAGAATCACGGACTGAAGAAGTGATGCTAAACAACATTAAGTGATGGACAGGAGGAAGGAATTCAGAAGAGAAAAGGCCAAGATAGATGCGTTTTAAACACAACAGAAAACCAAATGAG